TCTGAGGAAACCCAAGGGATTATGGCCAAAAGGATTCTAGTGGTATTGCTAAGTCAAGTCCTCTCTGGCCCCACTCCTATGAAATACCAACCAAACACACTGGTGCTAATTCAAGTGCACTTTACTTTAGGACACTTTGTTTCATTTTAGAAGCAAGTATAGGAAATCACCCAAAACACAAGCCACACATTACGATGACAGGCTGCAAGTGGCTCTTACCAAACAACCCTAGCATGTAAGAGTTAGAAGAGCCCTTCAACATGTCTGTTCCAAACACCTTTCTCCAAAGTTGACACAGATTTTCTTAGCAACAGTCAAGATGAGTAATCACCCAGTCTTCCCTTGAGCACTTTGAGTGATGGTGAACTCCCCATCTTTCAAGACAGTTCATTTCCTTTTCAGAGAAATCTCTTCTAGACTTGGTAAACATGAAGTACATGTGCTGACACTCTGAGCCCCACACTTGTGGCAGAGATCACCAATTAATCACAATGTTTTTTGGTTTTTTTTTTCCCACCAAGCCTAGGTTTAGCTTTAGAATCATCCTCAACATTGTTTTTCATTTGGATAGAGGTCAATTTGCAGTCCCTGTTGCAGTTTCTAGAAAGTTAAGTCTTCTGCACATAGCTCTTCTTCATGTTCTCTGTGAGCACACAGGACTCTAACAGTCTGGGGCGAGGACAGCGTCAGCCCTGAAGTCTTGAGCCCATTCCTGGAACACAGTTTGGGAAAGACAAAATCTGCAGGCTGGGGGGTTGGTATTAGGCTCTCCAAAGCCTGAGATCCACAAGGTCAAATATTGGAAACAGGCATTTCTTAGGCACGATGAATAATCTTTCCACTGACTTCTGAAAGCCTATACTGGGGATGGAAGCCTAGGGTCATTGATGCACTGGGACCCAGGTTGAGGGCAGATCAAGGCTGCTTGTGGTAAAGCTGGGACTAGAACCTCAGTCTGTGATTTCTAATCTGTTGAGTCCCCTATCAGACCAAATTGTCTTTCTTTGATAAAGCATTAACACACTATGTCCCCAATTTCATTTTGAAATCATGGGTTGAGTCATGAAGAAGGCAGGTCATCAACCTGTATGGAAGAACGTTGGGTCTAGTGAAACATAGAGTGATTCCTTGCAGCTTCCAGAAGAGTTTGGGAGATTCAGTTGTGAATAATGCTAACATAGTTGCAATGTTACATTAGCACAGGTTTACTTTTAAATACTTAATAATATAAAAGACTTGCACAGCTTCAATTCATTTAAGCCTCCCAATAATGGGTAAATTTTAAGTTTCCTGAAAAGTGAGATTATCCATTTAGACAATCCTGTTTTTGACATAATTGTCCAACGTGGAAGAGGAAACTTGTTCAGGCCTTCCGTTTGTCTTACCATCAGTGACAGCTGAGTCAATTTTCTCTTCTGGTGGGTATCCTTTGTTCCTTTTGGAAAATGCCTGACTGATTTCTGCCTGGGTTCTGTTTTTGGTCTCAGGCAGCACAAAATATAGGTAGATAGCACCTGTGATACAAATTGTAGCAAAGACTAGGAAACAGTAGGTGTTCAGACTTTTCTGTGGAAAGGCAGAGACAAAAACCATCAAATAGATAATCAGTAAAGTTGCTGTCAAACCATCTCTACAAAGATTTTTAAAATAGCTCCACATTCATATACCAATACTCCTAGACAAAACACCATGTGTGATGCTGGCTCTATAAGGCAAGTGTGCCCTACATGAAGTGTTATCACATGAGGCTTGAATAAATCAGCTTCAAACTCTGGTAAAGATGAGCAAATGGTACTTTTTGTTGTTGTTGTTGTTGTTGTTGTTGCAAATTTGGCATTTAAAAATTAATCATCATGAAAGCAAAATGGTATGCTTGCTGAATATTAGCTTAAGCTTATATTTACAATTAACCACATTGTCTCCTTGCTTCTACTATACACATAAGACAAGAATGACATCGAAAGGGAAGAGGAACACCTCAGTTCATAGGAAGAATGTGGAGCATAGAACAGGCCAAGGTAATGCCAGTTTTTCTAATATGCAAATGATCTAACTCACTAATTGACACTCTGAGACGGCCTTGCACAAATAAGAGAGATGCGAAAAAATAGAAATGTTCAAAGCAATCACTCCATTTTATGTATCCTGATTAGTGCTTGGACTAGAATAACCCTGCCAACTGCACTAGACCTTGAGCTTCTCAGTGACGCAGTCACCTCTGTAGCTCCTGTGCCTCATAGGAGGTACTCAGGACATGTCTGTGGAATAAAAGACTTGAAATCCTAGCCTGAAGCAATCCACCTGCTTTGGTCTCCCAGGTACTGGAATTATAGGCATGAGCCACCTCTCCAGAAATAAAA